GCCATCTCTGTGCTACTATCATGCTAGAGGACACCCTTTGGAATAGAAAGAAAAAGTTCCACTGATGCCTGTGGTCATTAGAGTAGATCCTTTGTACTTATCTGGTGTTGTGTTCGCAAAGATCCAAATGTGAGCTTTCCTATTTTTTTTCACTGAGACATAAGAACCGAAGTTAGTGACAGCCTTACAGTGATATGGTCATAATTTCAGTCATTGACCAGTCAATAACCCTTACAAAAAAACAGGATCAAGAAGGATACTGAGTACAGGTTAAGTGCAGAACTTAGAACTGAAGATATGGGAGATAGACAGGCTTGTAATTTAAATATGAGAGTGACAGCAAATCAGAAAAATTGTAAATCTCTTTGCAGTTACAATTTTAATCACTAATATGTTTCTCATGTGACCTGATTTTTCTTGCTTAAATTTTCTGAGCTAGTTTTATATTACTGAATCTATATTTGTGAATGGTTTGTATATAAATAACAACTGCTCTCTGAATATTAGGGCTAAATTCTTGTCACATCATTTATATAATTCCATGGGCATCGGTCAAGCTGCCCACATGAATGGGTGAAAAGTGTTTTTATGTCAGTAATGATTGTTATGGGACAATTAAAATTTTTTGTGGCTTGTTAGTTTTAAGCCTGAATCAAGCATAATTCTATTGATGCTATTTTTACTATAAAGTTGATTTCTCCTAGCTTTTCAGAATATGTGGAGTGTTTGTAGTACAAGAATGAATGCAGTGGAGCTTTAAAGTTGCATATGTCTGGACAGAAGCTTTGTAAGCCTTTTGAAGTCTTAGAGAAATAAGGGGCATTCACACTATTAAATGGTGACACTTGATTATAATCTTCACCAGGTCCCAGAAGTATTATCTTTTGGGTCTCAAATTCTAGTGATACACGGAAGCTACTGATGGATTAGCTGGTTATTGAAAGTGGCTTTGCATGCCCTGGAAAGCTAATGAGGGTAGCAATGATATTTTAAATCCTGCAATATAAATTCATATTACTAATGGTTAAGTTATAAGACACTAGAATATAATTAGCCCTTGTTCATCTTCTGAACAAGTGCAAACAACAGAATACTGACTGTAGTACATTACCTAAGGTAGTTTAAAAGCCTAAATAATAATATTAATATATTATTAAAAATTAATATTTATAGCAAAATATCTGTGTAAAATTATCATTTAATGTTTGTATTTATGCATCTTATGAAAGTGGAACTGAAGTGGTATTTTAAAACTTCTATAAATTTTGAATTCTCCTCTAAGGAAACTCATTACTACATGCAGTGGTAGTGTCTACTGAGCACTGTTTTTGTTACTGTTCTACACAGCTAGTTTTGAGAGCTTGATGTAATCCTGATTAAGCAAAGAAGCTCCAAATCAGATTATACATCTGGTAGCAATTAGATGGAACAGTTACCATCTGGGAACATATTATTTCCACTGGAAAAAAGAAAAAAAACCTACAAAACCCCCACAGTCAGTGGTATAATTATAGTTAAATGCAATCCTCCTGTCTCTTCATAAACTGTATTCACATGCATTTATAATCTCTGCCCTTTTTCCAACATGTTGAAACAAAGAGTGCCTCATGGATGACAAAACTCCTTCAGACTGTCATGTTTTACTGAATGTTGGGAAAGAAACTGTGGAACTATTTTTGTTGTGACATCTGATTGTAGAGAATATGTGAGAATCTTTTAGGACAAAGAGGATCACCTTGATGAAATGAATGAACAAAAGCAAGAATTAATGCTAGTTAATAAGTAGAGATAATTAATAAATAGTCCCAGAAGGTGAGTTATATTATGTTATATTTTAACATATTAAAAATTCATATCACTAAAGGATTTAGTTTTGGAGGATAACCCTACTCTGACAAGAAGATGGATTAGGTGACCTACATTCCCCCCCCATTTTTATTTTATGTGTTTCTATGAGTGTCTTGAGCAATTTAAGTAAACAGAAAATTATATAAATGAGATATTTAGAAGGTAAATAGAGTTTTAAAATCATATGAGACGACTTGCTGAATGAGATGTTGGACATTCTGCTCTGAACAATGGCTGCCTGAGATGAACCTAATCTGGTGATTCACATTAGCTGAGATTAAGCAAATGGATTATGATGTTTTTTCTAGCTGAGCGTACTTGGAATAAGACTAAGGATGTTGTTTCATATGGTATAGACAACTACATGTACAATTCATAAATCTCTGAAAACAAGCTATACTCTCTTTTATTTACGCACAACTGTGGGTGAGTATGATAAAATTATATGCAATGCTTACCAGCTCTATGGCATTAGACGTATTCTTATGTATTTAGAACAAAGTGCTCCACTTAGTGTCTTTATAAAATTTGGCATCTTTATGCATAGCTTTGAATGAGTGGTTCTGTTTATGAGAACACAAGGAGAGGGATTAAATTCTGATTTCTCTTTGTTTTTTTTTGAGAATAAATTTCTTAACAATATAGTTGCCAAAATATCTTAATAGACATTCTGTATTATGTAATATCAGCTATTTCTTAATTTTATAATATCATTTAAGTATGAAAATCATTAGTATGTTGAAGATGAAATGAAACTATTACAGTGTGATGACTTGTAGTATGAAAAAGTAACTTCTACAATACATTAAAGAACAATTGTTCATTGTTGAAATGTTTTCTATTTGTAAGATGCAATTATAAGTTATCTGAAAGATGCATAAGCAATTTCCACTATTGATATGTGTATTCTCTCTTTGTTTGTTTTGGATTTCAGTACTTCCACAGTGTCAAGACTAAGTTTAATAATTATCTTTATGTAAAATATATTTATTCCTCTTCCAAATGTTGATGCTTATGTAACTGAATGTTTTACACAACTACAAATATCCAGATCAGCTTCTGAGAAGCTAATTCAAAAGTGATTAATATCAGTAGTCTCATGAGAAAATCCATCTATTTTATCTCTTGTAAGAGTGAATAATCAAATCATACAGTTAGATGAAATTCCACTCCATTTTCATAAAGGGTGAGAAATACAGTACAGAGTAGCTGAGAAGCTATATTTATTTCTGTCTCTGCTCATTGTTGATGATAACACTTTTGTCCCCAGAGATCCTGAACTAAATCTAAAGCTCAAGTCTTCTTGGTCAGTTAAAATGGAGCAACATTATGTTCAGTTCACTCAAGAACTTTACCACATTGCTGCTTTCATTGTAGAAGAACATCTGCTCTTCAAAGAGAATAGGAAAGTTTGTGTTGCAGCAAGCAACAAAAATACAAAAATGCTCCTACATATTTCCTCTAGGAATATCAGTCTAAATGGAATGACGCATGAAGCATAAAATGACTGCTTCAAATTGGGTCCCTAGTCTTAACTCACCTGTCAACCTCTCAGTTTAGAAGTGCAATGAAAATTTAGGCAGCTAATGAATAAATGTGTCAAAAAGGATGAACAACTATAGCTCTCAGTGATTTCAGTTGGAGTGGAACTCCTCTCTACTACACTAAAAGTAAGCCATTTCACTAGCTATCATGGACTGGGTTGTATAAGTTGCTGTAGCCAAACTTGAACATTTCTTCTTGCATATTCCTTAAGTAAATAATTACTTTTTAAAAAAAAGTTTAAAAAAATTTATTATTTTAAGAGGAATTGTGATTACCCAAATCAATCTTGGAGTACAAAATTCTAGTGGAGACCTGTTTGGTTATTTTTTGTTTTAGCACTTAGAATGAGTACAATTTACAGCATAAATAATGTCTTAAAAGGAGACATCTCTTCCTATGTTCTGATCATTGTTCAAAATAAAAATAATTTAAAAAGTTATTGACTCCTAGTAAAGACAATGCACCTGTTCTGAAGCACTGCATTATTGGAAAAGCTGTAAAAACAGAGTAAAGTAAAATCTTATCAAATCTGACTTTGTTTGAACCTTGACTATCTTGAAAAATAACAATTTTCTCTTATCAGTTTCAGAACTGATGTATGTAGTAGTAAAATAGTCAAAATACCGTTTTCCATAGCTTGATTAAGAAAAATATATAGTAGCCAGAGGAGATTGTTCCATTGGTCGATATGTCAACTATATCAAGGTAACATCATCAAGTGATTTAATTTATATTATTTTGCTGACAAACATATTTCCTGAGACTGCTATGTAGCTTTTCAGTAAAACTCCACTAAAACTCTTTCCTTGACGCTGATTAGTTGACTAGCCATTTCTACCCTGTGTTCCAATCAAAGGAAGCCAATCATTGATAAGTTAGTCATTTAAAGGGTTGTCATTACAGAATCTATATATAGATTGGACTTTTCTTGTACTTAAGATATCTTATTTGGCCAGTGTTTTTTTTCCTCAGTATAAATGCAAATATTGTAGTGGATATGTATCATGAATAGAAAAACAAATGATCTGTCAATTTATGATGCAACTTCACTCTAAACATGTTTTATTGTGGTAACTGTAAGCAAATCCAGAGACTTTTCTCTGAATCCAGTGGATTTGATTTGGTATGAAACTAGCACATAAGATTGGAATGAATTGCACTGTCTTTCATTTTTGTTGTTTTGGACTGAAAAAGGCTCATGCCAAAACACAAATTGCTCCCTCCTAATAAGGAATTTTCTAATATCTGAAATATGAAAAGTTGTCATTAATTGTCTTCATCCTCAAGAAAGGATGGGCTGTCAAAGCACCTTCTTCTAAGGATAGGTCTCTTGTTGCAAAATGATAAGAGATTTGAAATGACACTGGAGAGTTTTGGGAATATTTGCAAGTAGGTCTATGCTAACTTAATCTGACAGTATTGGAGTCTTTGTGGAATTTAAAGATAACAGCTTGGATTCATTTAAATGCAATGATTTTTGGCACAACTTTCTGCTGTTGGTTTCTTATAAATCTTCTTTCTACACCTTTCAAAATAAAGATTGTATTATTACTAGTTATAGGAAAGGTTTTACACCCATCCCCTCTTTCTTGCAGATTGCTGTCAAAATGAGCGAAACACCTTCAACTAGTTACTCAGTGAATCAGCCAAACTCTTCTGATAGTGAACAGAGTTTATCCACACGCCATTTCAATGTTACTGAACCTGTTGTGGCAAAACGGATTTGCTTCTATAAGAGTGGAGATCCCCAGTTTAATGGGATCAAAATGGTCGTTAATAGCCGGTCTTACAAAACGTTTGATTCCTTGCTGGATAGTTTATCCAAACGGGTCCCATTACCTTTTGGAGTGAGGAATATTAGTACACCAAGAGGGAGACACAGCATCACCAATTTGGAGGATCTTGAAGATGGAAAATCTTATATTTGTTCCCATCAGAGGAAAATGAAGCCTATCAACTTGGAACAGGCCAGCAAAAAGCCACTGCCCTGGCAGATCAGCAGGCCTGTCAGTGCTCGTCGTCGAGCTGTGCAATTAGCAAGGGGGAATGAAGATGGATTTGGCCATAGAGAAAGAAAAATAATAACTCCCAAGAAGATGCTTGTTTTCAAAAATGGAGACGTAAGACTTAGGCGCACCATAGTTTTGGGAAAGAAAAATACACAAACATTTGAGGCCTTTCTGGATCATATGAGTGAGTTAATGCAATATCCAGTTGCAAAACTATATACCACTGATGGCAAAAAGGTGAGAACAAAGATGAGTACTGACAATTTTTTTATGATTGCTTCTAGATTATTTTAAATTAAAGAGGTGATTTTATCCATTATAAGCTTGGAACATGGGCCTGATGTAAGATCTGATGTGCTGAATTTCATGTTTCCTTTCTGTGCCTTTTCCCCCTTCAGAAGACCTACTAGCTTAGAGGAAATATACTGGAATCTTGCAGTCAGAGAGGGTGTTTTATTTTAAGCAAAAAGAAAAAAACATTTTTTTTCTCTTACTTAGGCCTCTTTCAGGCATGCTCCTGATTCTATGCTTTTACCCATTCACACAGAAACTTCCTTTAGGCTTAGAGCTGTTTTTCTGTGGTTTTGAATCTTTTAGAAACATGAACAGTAGCATCTAATAGCCAGGCATATTTTTATCACTGCACAAATGCAGAGCGGTTTACCATTAATGCCTTGGAACTCTGACACCTGATTGCCTATCATAGTTTTCAAAACATGGACCAGGTTTTATACCACTAAATTCAGATGATGCAGCACTAATAATCCAGATTTTAATCTCACACAGTGCTTTATATAATTTTATCTCACTTAGTGTTTTTTCTGAGTGTTGTTAAATCACAGAATAACACTTATGATTACACTTAGCCAATATTTAGCAATAGAATTCCATGCAGAGCTCCAAGAGTTCAAGGGCAATCTCCTGTTTACCCTCCATTTGGTGAAATTGTGTATTAGGTTGGAAAACTGTCCATATTACCTAGAAGTTAGTGAAGTGCAGTTTGTAAGGATTATCTTGCAATATATTTTGGAACATAAATTCAAACCAGTTAGACAATGCTCTGAGCACCTTGATCCAGTCAGGCCTGCTCTGAGCAGAGAGTTAGACTATATGACCTTCAGAGATCTTTTCCAATGTATATTGTTCTGTGTCCTATTCACTGGTGAAAGTATGAGTTGACTGCTTGCAGTGTATTCTGAATTTTTCCTCCAAATATGTCTTCATATGTTTACCTGCCTCCAAATGCATATATGTATTTTATGGTATGAACAGTTACTGTGCAACAATAAAACAAAATTACATGTGCAAACACTTAAATTATAAGAAAATTCTGATCTGGATTCAAGTTGCTTCTTGAAGTCATTTTCCAATATATTTATATAACAAGATTTGCCCCCACAGATATAGGAATTGCCTTATAAGAATTGAAAAATCAATTCCGTGCTATAATATATATTTAATAGTCTGCTGCAAATGAATGTAGAGACTAAAAAGTGAAGATATCAAAGCTTGAAAGGCATAAATCTCTTACATTATTTTTTTGTTACTATCCTGACAGAAAATTTCATGTTACTTTTTTTTTTCCAGGTTCCTAATCTTCAGGCCCTGATATTGTGCTCTGGAGCTGTAGTCGCAGCAGGAAGAGAGCCTTTTAAACCAAGCAATTATGAAACTCTTGGGTATTTACGGCCTGCTAAATTGCTTGGAATTGGAAATCGTGTGTACCCAAAAGCAAATGCCAAGTCAGAAAGTGAAAAGAGTAAGTACTTTGAAACCAATTTGCATTTTATTAATTTGTTTACCTCTCTCGGCATAAGACATAAACAGTGACAATCTTACTAGGATCAAGGATGTTCAGAAAGGCCAGTTGAAACTGTTTATATCTGGTATGACTCCTCTATAAGCTTAAGATCAAACTGTTAATTTTCTTTTTAAAATGTAAGTTTCTGTGGAGTACTCGACTAATATGAATATTTTGTTTCTGACAGACCTGCTTAGAACATGGATTCAAATCTATATTTTATTTTAATTCACTTGACTGTCATTGTTATTAATTTTTTGGTGTCATGGTTAATAATGACACTGGTAGGAGAGGAACCACAGGCTACTTCAGGCTCTTAACTGACTGAATTTCTTGACCAAGCATTTTTTCAGTTTTCAGAACTTAACCTTAACAAGTGGAGTTTTGGCTTGTCATGACTTACACTTCTTCCCTTGTCCCATGTTCCACATACACAGGAAAACCCGTCTCTTAATCCATTCGCTCATAAATTAATCATGTTTTTGAAGCTGCTTTTGTCTAAAGAGAGTGTCATCTGTTCCTATATCCTCATGGCTACAATGTATGTTTTTTGGATAAGTTTGGGAAAAGATACACAAATACGTACTTTCCCTTTGATTACTCACAGAATTGTGCCACTGATAAGGTCAGTATGCTAACACATATTTGGGCCATATTCAAAATTCACTGAAGTCTAGCAGTATTCTCATTGGCTTTGCTGAGTTTTGCACCATTGTCTGCAGTACTTATGCATGAATGTGTTTCAGAATGTCATAATTTAAGATCAGATTTTATAAGGAGTTCAAGAATTTCAATGTTTACTTCTTTGTAGAAGGTCAGTCCAGGGGACTGGATTTGAACCCTTTATTCATGTGATACTACAGAGGGTAGTTAATCATATACTGTAGATTGTTGGGTTAAGCCAAGGAGAGATATATTCACCTTGACTGACATGTTTTAGTACAACCATAAGAACTAACAGAAAATGGTATATTAATGATCGCTAAAGCATGAAGCAAAGCTGGTAGCTCGAAGCCCAAAAAAGTGAGGGCCTGTGAATGCTTTAGGCTTTGGAACTTCAAATAAGACTAGAGTTCTCTCATTAGAAAGAACCTATTGTAAAATAAAATTAAGTGGAGAAGTATTTAAATGCTTAATTATTTATTAAGAATTTCTTATATTTCTCTCTAAATGATTTCTTAAATGAACAGCAAGATTAATCATGTTTTCCTCTATACTTGCTAATGCAAAATAAATAAAAAATATGTAAAATAAACACACTTCATTAGCAACTTTGGTACTAATATTTCTCCTTTCTTCTTTTCTCTTTCTTTGTTGCCTGTCTGCTGTCTCATCATCTGGATCCTTATCCATGATATTTGTCTGCTCTGCTTTCTACTACTGAATGAATTTGTGTTCTTTCAATATGATTATTGGTAGTAAGAGGTGAAATGGACTCTAGCTCAAGATCTCAGATATTCTCAGTTTCTTCTGATAAAGGATCCAGCAATAATAACAATTCCAATGATAACAACTCAGATTCTTCATATGTCCTTGACAGTCGTAATGGGATAGAAGGAAATCAGTCAGTTATTGGTGAAGACTTGTCTGTGGCACAGTATCAAGATGACATTGAGAAATCCGTTCACCTTAATCAAGATGGAAGTGTCACAGTGGAAATGAAAGTTCGATTCAAAATTAAAGAGCAAGAAACCATTAAATGGACAACCACTGTAAGTCGTGCTGGCCTTTCTGATGACAAAAATATCTCAATTTGCAATTCTGCAATGAATGCAGAAGACTGTTTATCCAATGTAAATGCATCAGAATGTATAAATCCACAAGATACTCCATTTTTGAACAGCTACAATAAAGAAGAGGAAGACTCATTACAGCAATCCAATGCAGAAGTGTCAGACAAAGAATCAGAGTCTGATTTAAAAACTGCTGATTGTAATGTCTCTGATCAGAACAATTCTGCAGATCTAGACACAAGAAATGTATCTGAGGAAAATATCAGGCCTCGATTTTACAGGCCTCCCACCCCTGGGCCAAGGCGTGTTAGACAAAAGAAAGCAGTAGTTGAAAGTGTCACCTTGGTATCTGAGAAAGAGGTTCAAGAGAAGACAATAGGACAGTTTTCCTACAGTGAAGAAATAGAGAATGGAGAAAAAACATCTGAGTATTGCATGGTAGCTCATTCAAGCAGAAAAAAATCAAGTGTCAGTAATCCAAAATTTAGTGACATGAATGGCAATGGTTTATTAAAGCTTTCTTCAGAGAATATAAAAGAAGAAATGCTTTTTAAAATAAGCCACAAAAGCAGTGATTTATTAGAAACCAAAGCTAACATCAGTGGTTTCATACCAGCATCAAAAATTTGCCAGACAGCTAGACCAGGTTCAGCAGATCACATCCATAAGTCATGTGATATTAAACAAATAAAAAGATCACTGAGTTCTTTCATTACATATTCAGAATTATGTCAGTCAGAAGAAGAAATAAACTGCAAAGCTGCTGATTTTATACCTATTTCTCAAGATTCAGTGCATTCAACCTGTCCTGGACGTAGCCAGATGAAGGTGACAGTGCCTCCATGTAGTAAGGGTCCTACTGAGAAAATAAATCCTACAACTGAATTCTTTCCTACTGTTACTGAAAGTGAGAATCAAATCAGTGTCCGGACCGAATCTGTGATGACAACACAGTTCGTTGATAACAGTCAATCTGCATCATCCCTCACCAAAAAGAAGAAGAAGAGAAAATCATCTGTTTTTTTAGAGCAAGGTATGTATGAAAATCAAAAAGACCAAGACATTTCAGGGATAACTAAAAGTGAGGGAATGCATATCACAAGAAAAACCACACAGGATTCTGCAACAGAGGCTATGGATAATTATTCTGAAATGCCTCAGAAAAAAGAATCTGAATTTTTCATGAAAACCAATGATGGGTCTGTCAATTCAGACAAAAGCATATGTCCTGAAGAGGAGTTTTATCATCAGCATCCAGTGGAACAAAATGGATCATCATCTAATAAAAAAAAAAGAAGTAATAACAAGAAGTTGACCAAGGTAAAATTGAAGTCAGGCAAAAAAAGTAGTATCGTTTCATCTGAAAAGAGTGAAGATGGTCTAATGACAGTTAATTCAAACAATGAATCTGAGCACGGTCAGGACACATTGAATACTGAGAAAGAAGGAACATATCTTATAACCAAATCTTTCAAACAGACACCTAACACATCAGTGACTTTAAAGCCATTGTCAGAAGTGCCAAAGAATCTTAGCTTTGAAAAAGAAAAGGAAAAGAATAATTTGGAAAATTCACCATCAAAGAAAGAGAAAAAGCAAAAGGCAACCAAGAAAAATCTAAGTAAAAGTGCAAAGAAGTTATATATGTCAGAGAGTGCCATTACACTAGAGGCTCTAAACCAGGAGAGTTTTCAAGAGGAGGCTGGTGAACATTCACTAGAAAACTATGTCCAGTCTTGGCTGAAAAAATCATTATCAAATTCTGTCTTACCCCCTATAAAGAAAAAAGAAGGGACCGTCGAGAACAGCAATGCGAGTTTTTTTCCTGAAGAAAATATCAATACTTCTATAGATAAAGAAGCACGATTTATCACAAATAAAGTGCATATGACTGGAAAAAACCATCTGGTTGAACATAACCTAACCAAAAAAACTTTAACCCCTATTGGTGAATTGAGAGCTTCAGAAGAATCGGCAAAGAATTCAGGTGAAACACAAACTGAGTCTTTAATTCATGCTAATACAACTATAGTAGAAGCAGCCAAGTACTCACTAAAGTCAGAATTTCATCAGGACAGTAAGCTACACTTGTTTCATGAAACACACGACAATAATAAAAAGATGGCAGAAGCTGATATTCAAGATACCAACCTATGTCAAAGAAAAAAATCTGAAGTTGCTGTTCAAGTTAACAGCACAATTGTTAATGAGAAAATTGGAACTGATGTTCAGAATAATTGCATGTCTAGCATGTTGCTGAATGAACTACAGTCAACTTTGCTTGGTGTCCAGAAAGAGCATAGTGGATGTATAGGAAAAGCTTGCAGCCTTTCAGATCTTTCTCCTTCAGGTTTTGGTTCTTCCTCCAACATCCTCCTAGCTTGGCTACTGGTACTGAATCTGAGAGAGAGTTTGATTGGGACAATCACAGATGATATGCAAAAAACTGCCTGTAGCTGTTCTGAAATATTTACACAGTTACAACATCTGAAACAAACTACAGTTACAGAAAAAGCTGATGAGGTGAAGGCTGTCTTCTCGCATTTTCAACAATCAACAGAAAATAATTTATTACATTTCAAGAGGGAACTTGACAAGGAGGACTCCCCACATTACCATGAGAATATACCCATATCTGAAATTCGAAGTGGTATACATTTGCATGAACATGAAGAATCAGTTGAGCCTTGTATTCCAATGGACAGTGTCAATTCTGAAGCAGCTCTAAAATTATCTGGGGAATTAGAAAGCTGTTTTGATATACAGAATGATCTTTGCAGAGAAACAGAGATGTTAGACTTGATTGCTCCCAAAACACAGCTAGATGGTCAATATTCCAATACTGATTCAAATATCTGTAGCCTCGCATCAGCTTTAGAGACTCCTGAAAGAAATGAAGAAATGCCGTATAGCCTATATGAAAAATCACAAGTTAAACCCAGTGATGCATCATTTACTAATGAAGAGTCAGAAACTTCAGTAGAACCTAACTCAACAGTTCATAGTGTAACTTCTAATGATAAAAATTGTATTTTAGATCAGGATATTTCTGAATTAGAAGGTGAAAAAGATATTCTACATGTTACTACTGATAAAAGTGAAGATGAGGATGTTGATCTGAAGTCATCAGGTGATGACAAAACCTCCAAAAAACAACTTAAACTTGCTGCCGATACCTCTGTAGAATATAATAATGAGGATTATTCTATACAGGATGAAAAGGAAGATGCAGAAACTTCTGAGGAAAGCTCTGAGAGATTATCTACAGTCTCTCCATTATCATTTCGTTATGAATCAAAGCAAATAACAGAATGTGACACGAGCGAAGGAGAACAGAAATTGCAAGTAGAAGAACTGGGGAACAAAACGTGTTCAGACACTTCTCAATTCAAAAAATGCTTTAAAAGTCCTGCTACTTCAGACTGGTCAGATTACAGACCAGATAGTGAAGAGAGTGAATATAACTGTCAAGCATCCAGTGACTTGACCAATGAAAGTGGGGAGGAAGCAGCACTTGAAAAACAGTATAATACTGGCTATGTAAAAAGAACTATTGAACGGCTTTACGGCAAAACAGAAGCTTCATTTAAACCTGACTATCACAAAGGATTTCCTTATATGTCAAAAGTATTTCAAACAGATACGGAAGGATTCCACTCTGCAGTGGGAGAAAAAATAGTTTATTTTTCTCAAGAATCTATGTCTTGTTCTGCAGAGAAATCATCACATTCTTCTCTACCATTACAAGAATATCCAGTAAACACAAACAAAGATGGCAGTATATTGAGAAGAGAAAATACTTCTTTACCAACATCACAGTCTACTTTTAACAGAGAAGAGATAATTTGTACTAATGACTGTATAAGGGAATCTCCAAAGCAACACTGCCAACCTAGCATACAAGCTAGTGAAGATGAAGGAATATTGATAGATAAAGGCAAGTGGCTTCTCAAAGAAAATCATTTGATAAGAAGATCACCACCTGAGCGGATTGGAATGTATGGTAATTTGGATACAACGTCAAATGATACTAACAGTGATGAAGTTCCATACTCTCACTTTGGAAATCTGAATCAGTACCCAGCCCTCCATGAAATCTCTTCTTCAGAACTCGAAGACATGATTAAACCCCCTGAAAATCTTTGCAACTACTTCAATATGCCTCATAATAGTGATTCAGACCCATTACAGGATGAGTTAAATACGAAAAGCAAACCTAGTCGGAATGGTAAGATCCTTCCTGCAGAAAACAAAGAAAAGGTCAAACCGTCAGTCATGGCAGCTTCTACTTCCACACAGGCTGATACCAATTTTCCGGCATTTTCATCTGTAGAATTTAGAATGCCTGATAACAAAGTGCATCCATTGGAAAAGCCTTTAAATGCTGAACCCGTACAGTCTCAGCCAACTGATGTTAGTGATGCTAACAGAAGTGCTCTTCAGGAAGAAGACTCTCTGGATAGACTCCATGCTATATGTGGCCAACATTGTCCAATACTGATGGTAACAGTAATACCAATTAACGAGGAACAGAGAGGATATGCCTACCAAAAGGCATCTGATATTGAAAACCAGCTGGGTCCACACTTGCTGTCCAAAAAGAGCAAATATTTAGAATGGTCAGGTGAAGATTTAACAGATAAAATTAATCATGTGACTTTGAAGAATAACTCTATCAATAAGATTGCCAATAACATTTTTAATAGGTTTTATGCTGATAACACCTTAGATTTTATTAGTAACTTTGGAATACTTGCACCTTCAACTCTGAAAGACACAAATAATTTAGGGAAGTTACATACTACAGAGGATATCAATGTAAAATCCATGGAATTCAGAAATTGTCAAAATAATGTATCCAAACACATACCCAGTGATCTTGTAATAGGCACAATTGAGCTACCCAATGGAAAGACAACAACGTGTCAAACCTTAAGAATAAGTCTAATTCCTATTGTTGGAAAAAAAAACTCTCCCATGTTGGCAGATCCAGCAGCAGCCTGTCATTCTGAAACATTTCTGAAGCGTGATGCTTCCTTAAATAGCATTGAACATAAAGGCTCTGAAAATAAGAAAAATGAAAATGCCTTTCCTACAGAAGAAAAAGAAGAAGATGAAGATGAAGAAGACAAAGAAGAAGAAGTTTGCTTTTGTACAATAAACAATAGAAACAGTAAAGATGAGAAAGACTTATAATGAAGATCTTGGAATTTCTATAGCATTAGATTAGTGAAAACATCTTCAGAAAAAAAAATCACATAATAAACTGCTGAATGCCACACCCAATAAGGCTCCCAATATGAATACCTAGATAAATATAAATCACAATTTTATATCATTGCTGAAATACAAATATTACTTAAATTTTTATGGGAACCAACATAAGAAGAAAAGCTGTTCTAAGTCAATGATTTCTTGGTTAATAGACAGTTTTCCTCTGAAATATTACATGTTAAGAGATAGTTACATACTAATCATCTAATTTTAGAGAAATAACTACTGCTTGTTAGAACAGAGGACTGTGATTTGAAATACCTACCTGAGTTTTAAGATAAGATTTCTATATTTCATTACATTTGAGAAGGAGTTTGAAAATTGTCTTTCCATAGAAATGCTTTTCCTGGAACAAAATCAACTGATATGGTTAAATTGAAATGAAAAGCAGGAAATACTATTCAAATGCTGTAATACAATAGCAAGTAGGAAACAGAAGTCGTGTTAATTTTATATAGATGTACATTATCAAATTGCTATTTGGGTTTTTAAGGGCCAACTGCAGAATAGTTATGGGAGTAAAGAGATTTTTCAGTCTGTGTCTAGGATCATCCAGTCACCAAATGAAATTTGCCTCTTTTACCCAGAGGGCACAAGAAAAGGGGTGTATTTAGGAACTGAGAAGAGAGGCTGTTTGTCAGTGGACTTCCTGGCTCCTCTTGCCATATTTCCTTCTGAGGCAGCACCACTTACTTAAAATTGTTCTAAATATATTACAAGTTTTAGTTGTGCATTCGTCTGTAACCTCTGTGCTTTAAAGACAGTCCATGCGTTTTTAGTTTTTGTTTTGTTTTTTTTTGTAAATATGTTGTATTGTGAGAATCAGGGCATATGCAATATGTTCCAGGATCTTTCCATCTGTTATTAGAATTATTTTGGATACCTGTTTACAGAATTTTTTTAACATTACATGTGCATCGTAAGCACTCATATATGGTTTACAATTTTCAGTAAATGACTTTAAACATAAAAATGGAAAATATTTAATGTATATTGTGATTAGGCAGAATGTTTCAGTTTTTCAGTTAGATTTTAATTCCTAATACTGCATGGTACCTTGTTTCAATGTCAAGGAAGTCATACACCTGAAGAGAAGTGTTACTTTTCAGCTAGAGAATGAGAATTTTGCTATTCTGTACTCTTGGAGGCTGTGTCTAGAATAACTGGCACATACATGCTGTGATAAGCCGTGGGTCATTATCCTTTGATTATCCAGATTGGGGACCTAATAAAAGGCTGATGCAAATTCCTTTGGCCCAGAGGCTTTGACTGTCTCCATGTGGGATAGAAAGCACGTGAAGGAAAGAAGTTGGAACTGAAGCAAAAGGTGTTTGTAGTACAGGCAGAAAACCTAGATGCATTCTTTTTATGAGTTCTTTTTAGGAGTCCAATGGCGCATATATTTCCCCATAAATAACTGTTATGTTTCTGCTGTTTGAAACAGTGTATTCCATGTAATAAACTGATGTTGCAACCCTAAAGCAAGATATATTGTCTAATATATTTAATATCAAATAGCTGTGTGTTATTACTTATGCTGGCTTTGTTTACGACGTTCTTCTGTTCATCTCCAATTTTTTTGGCATCCTCCTGCTCCAAGTGAAGAATCTCAATGGTACTTTTTCATCCTTTTACATGTTGATACAGAAATAAAATGTACGTTTGGAAAATGAAGCTCAAAATTACTAGAATCCAACTGAATGTCATACAGTATTCTGAGTACCAAGCTTCTAATAATTCTAAATAATATCTAAATGTGTAGACAGACAAATTAACAGCTATGTCTCCATCACTCACAGCCTTTCTGATTCACAGCACCCTGTACTGCATTCACAGCACCTTAACTTTATCAGATCAAGGTTCAAGAACCTTTAATCAGATGCTTATTACTGAGTTACTGAGAGTTACTGAGCAAACTAAGCACTCAAAAGGTGAGATGCGAGGTACTCCCTGAGGTTACAATTACCAGAGGCCACAGCAAGCAGTGAAAAGATTGTTATATTAACTGAGAGACTTGGTTCTGATTTCAGGATGCTAACTGAAAGACAAAGAATACAATGGTGACCTCGGAGCTGGAAAAAAGATTGACAGTGAGATGTACCGTACTATCATAGGGTTTATATATTCATTAATGGTTCAGAGAAGATCATAGAATCACAGAATTGTTTAGGTTAGAAAAGACTGAGTCCAACTGTTAACCCAGCGCTGCCAAGTCCACCACTAAACCATGTCCCCAAGTGCCACATCTACATGTCTTTTAAATACCTCCAGGGATGGTGACTCAACAACTTCCCAGACAGTCTATTCCAATGCTTGACAACCCTTTCGGTGAAAAAATTTCTCCTAACATCCAGTCTAAACATTCCCTGGTGCAACTTGAAGCCATTTTCTCTGGTCCTATTGCTGGTTACTTGGTAGAAGAGATTGACCTCCACCATGCTACAGCCTATACACCTGTGTATATATATTCTATATACAAAGATAGACAATATCGAATGTCTCAGATATGCAGATAAAATAAAATTGCTTTCATTAGGTAAGATGGAGAAGGCTGAAGAGAGAATCTCACGATGTTGGTGATTAGAGCAACATACTGATTGACAGAGGGAAAAACACCATGAGGAGTAACATGAGCTACTTTATATAGGATAGAAAACAATTCAGCAAACGTTCAAGGGATTTATATAGAGTATGCCATTCTTTGAGAAGGAATTCAGTTTTTGTCTTGCCATTATTAAAAAAAAATAGCCAGCATAACATATAGATCACATTCCCAGGAAGTTTCAGTTAATCTAGTTTAGTGCCTCGCTAGAAAGAAATCACACAATTAGGTAAGTAAATCCATATAATTACAAAATCTCATGGTCAAACTTTTTCTCTATAGTCACTACAGGTTCCACTAGAGGAATGTTCTAGAGCTTGATTCCTTTTTTTGATATCTGTCTTAACTGTTTTCTAGTTTCCATCCTGTAGGGTAAAACACACGCAAGTATTCTTGCCAAGAATTGCAAGGCAGTGGAATGAATAAAAAAAGGTTTATTTCAGATGTAAGGACTCCAGGGGAAAAAGGCTTTTTATATGTTCTCTCTCTCCTCCCCCACCCTCTCTGGCCTGAGGAGGCCTTGTATATGTCTGCAAACATGTTATCTCTGTGCATACCAGGGTTAGAGAGACCTTGCTTACAACTTCTCCATGCAACTTTCTCTGAAATGCAGAAGGAAGAAAAAAAAATCTAACCCATTTGAGAAGGCATTTTACAGTCTTTCTGCGTGAAATCAAGTTCTAGTTTTCCACCACAAATTCTTCTGAAATTATACCTATCCCTATACATCCTCAGCCTAGTGATGGTTAATTTCTGTATACGTATCCCAAAGTCATTATTGTAAGCCGTATTTAGATATGCCTTGTCCTCCTCGATATCTGTCAACAAAACCAGACATTCTCTTAACTTTTTGTCCTACATAAATATTTTATCCATTTCCTCTAGTCATCATGGTTGTAATTTCTGAAATGCATAAGACATATTTCTCTTACTTGGAAGGATGTCAGAGGAAAGGAAGAATGTTTAATTGTTTAATGTATCTCTATTAAACAAGGAACTTGTCTTTTATAGCCCTAATGATATCAAATATTATTAGTCTAATCACCATGTTAATTCGCAGTAAGAATTTTGGGGAATATTTAATGCAATTTTCCTACCTTATGTCATGGGTTGAACCCCAGCTGACAACTAAGACCCACTCAGCCACTTGCTCATTTCCCCCTACCAGTGGGATGGGGGAGAGAATTGGAAGAGTAAAACTGAGAAAATTCATGGGTTGAGATAAAGACAATTTAATAGGGAAAGCAAAAGTCACACACACAAGCAAAGCAAAACAAGGAATTAAATCATCACTTCCCATGGGCAGGTAGATGTTCACCCATCGCCAGGAAAGGCAGGCTTCATCAGGCATAACAGTGACTTAGGAAGACAAATATCACCACTCCAAACACCCCCCTTCCTCTTTCTTCTTCTTCCAGCTCTATATGCTGAGTGTGATGCCTTATGGTATGGAATATCCATTTGGACAGTTGGGGGTGGCTGTCGCAGTTGTGTCCCCTTGAAGCTCCTAGCCTCCTTGCTGGCAGGGCAGTACGAGAACAATAAAAAGCCTTGATGCTGTGCAAGTGCTACTCAGCAATACCAAAACCATCCTGTATTATCAACCCTGTTTTCAGAACAAATCCAAAACCTAGTGCCATACTAGCTACTGTAAAGACATTTAAGTGTACCCCACCAAAAACCAGCATACCTTAATGAACTAAATTAAGATAAGAGGTTAGGTACACCTACCTAGAGTAAATTAAATGTTTTATACTTATGTTTACTTATACGTATGCTTACTTATATTTTATACTTATGCTTATACTTATTTTTTCAGTTTAATGTGTTCAAGCTACAACAATTCCTGTAATAATCAAGTTTAACTTGTTGATAACAGTATCCCTCAGTGATACCATTTCCCTTAATTCCATGTCATTGATATGCAGCTTCCACAGGGTGAATGGTTTGGGTTGGAAGGGGCCTTAAAGACCAGCTAATTCCAACCCTCAGGTCGTAGGCTGGTACACCTTTCACTAGACCAGGTTGTTCAGAACTCCATCCAACCTGGCCTTAAACTGTTCCTGGGATGGGGCATCCACAGCTTCTCTGGGCAACCTGTTCCAGTGCCTCACCACCCTCACAGTGAACAATTTTTCCCTAATATATTTTCTAAACATGTCCTCTTTCAGTATGAAGCCATTACCCTTTCTCCTGTCACTACATGCTCTTGTAAATATTCTTTCTCCATCTTGCTCATAGGCTCCCTTCAGGTACTAAAGAGCCACAATTAGGTCACCTTGAAGCCTTCACTTTTCCAGGATGAACAAACTTGATTCTAGAAGCCTTTCCTCATAGGAGAGGTGCTCCATCCCTCTAATCAGCTTGCTGGTACCCCCTCTGGACTTGCTCCAACAGGTCAACGTCCTTCATGTGCTGGTAAACTTCAGTGGATTCCAAACAAGTTGTTACATCTACATAGCCAATCACACCTTTGCAGAGATACAGATGCTTTCTTGGAGGTCTTTTTTAGCAGAGATAATTTGCTTTCAGAGACCCTAATGTTTGATGTGAGGAGTGTCAAGGCTGTCATTACCTAGCACTGCATTGAGAAGAGGTGATAGATCCTAAGTAAACAGAAAGCCAATTAATTTAATTAATACAACTTAATAAAAAATTTCAAAACTGTGTTTGAAAAGAGATCTACATTCATGCAAATTTGACATAGTCATATGGGACACATGGAGTAAAAGACGTGAATGCAACCTGACATTTCTTGACCTGCCCAACACGGCAAACAATATTTGCCTGGTGTAATTTTGTGAAACACATATTTATGTATTCATTGGCATGATGTTATTTAGAATTTTGATTACTGAAATGCATTTTGTTTGAGAATCTTGAGTTTAAGTAATTCAGCAAGTCTTTTTTATCTTTTGATAGCTAGGAAATGGAATGTGTCAGTCCTCACCAGTGATATACCATCTGCAGGAACAAGCTCAAAGGTTTATATTACATTGTATGGGGATCAAGGCAGTTCGGGTCCTATTTTTCTTGATGGAGAGAAGGGAAAATTATTTCAGAGAGGCAATGAAGACATCTTCACAGTAAGTAATATATATTCATTGTATTGCCCTCTTGCATTCTGCCAGATCATATGACTTTTCAAAATCTATGTGATGAAAAGACAGTTTTTTGCGTGGTACACATATCTAGAAAGGTAAATGGGACTTAAATGTAGAGCTAAATTTCGTATCCTTTCTCACTCACTCATTCAAATCTGATTTGATCCAACATATTTATTATCTGTTTAAGAAGAACTACTGTTTAATTTACATAGTGCCCAAAAAAATACCAAGAAATATAACGCAACAGATACTTGTTTAGTTTACAAATTTGAAACAGGGCTACAATATTAAAAATTAAATAAGGAAGTGAAGAATTAGGATATGGAGCAATTTTTTAACTTTGTTAAATACCTGCTGCTTTATTGAAGTAATGCCAAATTTTATACCTGTAATAAATCTGCTATCTGCAGCTGCTTCTGCTCCCAGTTCCACAAACAAATTTCTTCCTCATTGATCTTGTGGCATGGTGATTTAAGTGATCCAGAATAGGTTCCTTATCACAATCTGCATAGCTTGAGTGTATATATGGGATTGTCAGGGTTTGTCTCTGGCAGGTGTCCACTATAGGGCCATATGACAAACAGTTGCTTTCATTATTAGTATTCAGCATAGCAAGTCCCCTCTCTGAGAAAAGGTGTTTAATGGTAGCATTGATTAAGAGCTCACCTTTTCCATAATAGCCTCATGGATGTTTGGGATGGAGAAAATGCAATTCTTTGCCCTCTTCAGCCTGATGGAGTTTCTCAGAAGAAGCACTCCTGATATAGTATGTCATTGTCCATCTGTGATATCAAAAAATCCCAGGTTGAAAGGAGTAGACAAAACAAGTAACCAGTTCCCTGACAGATAAAAAGACCCTCTTTGCAACAGATATTGTTGGCTCTTCACTGTTGTAATTATTGCAATTAATTTTACCTCCAATGACTTTTAAATGCAAAATATGGAGGCAGTCATATTGTTCGGGATCTAGGATTCCCCTCTCAGGCAAATATCCACAGCACTGAACACAGTTAAGGAGAGCCTACTCTGAAATGTATAGAAAGAGAAAAGTCTCTCTGAGTGCACTGTATGCTAGATCTCAGCTGTGGTCTGTCCTCCCTGCTCTGTCTCTTTGCTGTTTACAACATTGAGTTCAGGGAAGTTCATGATACAGAGAACTCAGTTCATACCCATCTATATACACTGTCAATGAAAACATGAAAATGAGTTCTACAGAAAACAACAGAAGGACAGAAAATCAAGCCTACATTATAATGAAATAAATTATACAGTGAGGAGGGAAGACACTCACGGTGTGCTTCCAGTTCCTTGAAGATAAGTTTTCTATTTCTACACTTAGGTTTATACCAGTAGTTTAATAACCTACACAGAAAGTTATTCCCTCAGCACCCTGCTATCTGCACTGGACACACTCATCCTGCCTGCCCAAGGGCTAATCTTTCAAATACAGCTTTTAAAGTTGATTAAATTGAAATGATTTGTAAAAGGAAACATCAAAGCTGAACACAATTGTTTCCAAATTGTAAGGTATACACTCCTGGAGGGGTAGGGTGGCACCTACCCTCAGAGGTAGGTGGGTGGTAAAAATTATTTTGTAGAAGGTCAGTGGTATAAATGCTAAACTGAGCCAGGTTTTAGGGTCAAGACAGTTCTGCTTTTTAGTCATACATACAGAGTATATTCATCTCCCACTGAGGCTAATATTCAGTGGGGAACAGCTACAGCAGCATTAATTTAAATGGGATTGGCAGGCCAATGGGTTTTTTGAGGGTTGTCCTTCAGAAGACCCAAGCTTCTAATGATTTTTCGAAGCAAATAGTTTGGAAGCACTTGTTTAAATATCAGAATATTTAATTCCTCCAAACAAAAGTCTCACAGTTACTAAATGAATTTCTGTTGCACGTCTTTTCTGTTTGAAAAATGTTTTGTGTTTCATTAGTTGTATTTCTTTTACAGATTAATACTAGAAATATAGGACATCTCTACAAAATACGCATAGGACATACGAATGCAGGAAATTCCCCTGCCTGGCACTGCAAAGAGGTAAAAGCAGTGAGAAAGAAGTTTATCTTTCCAAAGGCAGTCACTAGGACAGTGGAGTCAAAATATGAATAAGAAAAAAATCCCTGGGATAAGTATATTAGCATCATCAAATGCTTGCACCTTCATTTAAGGGATTATTTATGAAGGAGTGTTTTTGTGTGGAACTATAGGCAGCTTATGATGATATGTATTGGTTGCCTGTTTGCAATTTAGTGACAGCTGTACATTGTTTCTTTAAAAATATGTGGCTGGGCAGCAAGGAATACTGCTTAAGTTAGCTGAAGTTTCTACAGTCTTTCTGTGCTACAGAGTGCCTAGAGTTTGTTGAAACCCAGAAAGTCATTGAATCCAGTTTGGCTAAGTCATCTCCAAACCTGTGGCTGATGCTGGGTCCTTATGCACAGCATAAATACCTCAGAGCTACATTGCAAATATTTCTAATTCTGTGTCTCTGAGGACAAAAAGACAATAACAGGTTCTTTTCTCTCCTTATGCAGAAATTATAGCTCAATGCAGGTATAGCAAATATAATAAAGCAAAGAGAATCAGCTAGTTCTGTTCCAAGCCTCAGCTGTGAAGCATAATATATAAGTTTTTGGACTGGAAATTAAAGTACGTGACTTTTATCTTTAGCGTCCATGATGCACTATGTGTGCCAATTCTATGCTATGCATGTCTGAAACACTTCCATCTTTAGGCCAAGTGTTTCTTATCTTTCAGTTAAGAGACAGCAGTTTATGAAGAGCTTTAGAAACAACTGGTAAACTCAATGTTAAAATTATATTTCAAGGTATATGTGTATCTATGTAATGTAAAGTGTCCACTGGAGTAAAATATTCATTGACCGGTGCTCAAACTCTCTGGCTATTTGATGCTTGTTTTTATCTGAGACCGCATCCCAGAAAGAAGACTAAGACCTGGACGATGTTAACTGAAGGTAACACCAGGCTGTGAGTTCATACCTCTAGCCAATGGCTGTCTATTCTGAAATATTGTGTCACTGGTAGTATCCCTCTAAGAGCTTTCATGATAGAATTATAGGTATTATATCTCTTTCAATTCAGGTGAGGATTGCCTGATTAAAAAACATAGGTATTTTTTTTCCTGGAAAAGCAGAATGATGTAGCCAGAATATCATTTAAGATACTTTTTTCTTCTGTTTCAAGCTATTTTTGTTTTCATAAATATGTGTGTGGAAGCAGTAAAAGGGTGGAAAATACCTCATAGCTTTGTCCCATGAGACAATGGGACAGGTTACCTGCAATTTCTACAGTGCATCTGAGTTAAGAAGCTAGAAAAAAACAGTGGGCTTTCTCTTATGGAAAAGGTTCATTTGTATACATAATCTTCAT